CCTCCTCCTCCTCCTCCTCCTCCTCCTCCCTCGCCTACATGTGGTGGCGGTGTGGTGGAGCATGGGCCCATCGGCTGAACCAGCCGGGCTGTTGGCTTCAGCCGCTCCAGGCAGATGCAGCACTGGTCCACGTCGACGTCGCAGGCCAGGACGCTGGGCAGGCACGTGAAGTCCTGCCAAGGGGCCCCCAGGAACACACACACACACACACACACAAACACACACACACACACACAAACACACAAACACAAGAACACACACAGATCCCAGGATTCCCTCTATGTTCCCATACTTTCTGGTGCTTTGTCTTCCCCCCCGCTTCCCATAGTTTCCCATATTTTCTGGGGAATCGACGATGATTTGTGTCTGTGTGCTTTTCCCTCCTGATCCTGGACCTGCAAGGAAGTGTTCTCGCAGGTGGAGTCGACCATCACGCACGCGAGCAGCGGCAGCCCCAGAACATCGGACGCTCCTGGGGGGTTGTTTTCCACCGCCAGCACCATAAGAAGGAGGGGGAGGGAGTCCACCTCCTCCTCCTCCTCCTCCTCTTCCTCCTCGTCCTCCTCAGCCTCCACCTCCTTCCCCCCTCCAACTTGTGGTGGTGGTGGTGGAAAACAAGCCCATCAGCTCCGTCACGCTGAAACGCCTGGGCCAGGCAGGAGATCAGGTGCTGCCAGTTTTCGTGGGGCAGGGCGCGAAGGATGCGGACGGTGTGTCTGCCTGGCTTGGTGAGCTCGTCCAGCAGCTCCCAGTAGCCGCGGACGCCGTTGGCCTCGATGATGATGTGCCCCACGCAGACCTGCTTCGTAGGGTTCTGACTGTTCCAATCAGCCACCAAGCCTTTACCCGACATCGTCAGAACCACTGCGCCACAGTAATCGCCGCCGACGTTCCCCACGTCAATGCCCAGCACGGACCCCTCGTCCTTCTGCAAGGTCACAGTCACGATGTCGAGGTCCTCGGTGGCCCTGGGCCTGGGGACCTGCTCCGGCGCGGCACTCTGGGGTGTAGTCTGAGGTGGACGGTTTCCCCGGGGCCGTAGGCGACCCGAGGAGGGGAGGAGGAGGAGGAGGAGGAGGAGGAGGAGAGGAGGAGAGAGAGGAAGGGAGAGGAGGGAGGAGGAGGAGGAGGAGGGGGGAGGAGGAGGAGGAAGAGGAGGAGGAGGAAAAGGGGAGGCGGAGGAGGAGGAGGAGAGGAGGAGAGGAGGAGGAGGAGGAGGAGGAGGAGGAGGAGGAGGAGGAGGAGGAGGAGGAGGGAGGAGGGGAGGGGGGGGGGGGGGGAGGAGGACGAGAGAGGAGGAGGACGGGTCGCCGAAGCCCTTCGGAGGAGCCCTCCAGTCTGAGGTTGCTGCTGGGTGGCCCTCGGCCGTGGCCTGGCGGGCCGGCGGCGAGCACCCGCACGGATTGGCGGCAGGACCACGCCGCTTCCACGGAGAGCTTGGCGCGCCGTCCTCGGGCCTGCGCTTGCGCTGCGACCGGCTTCGCCAGCCAGCGGCATTGCCGCCGAATTCCCGCGGTCCAGCACGGTGGGGCTGACCGAAGCCTGGCGCGGAGGCAAAAAATGCAGTGCTAGCCACACGGCGAACGTTGGCGATAATGGTAGCAATGACGTCGTAACAGCGCGTTGGCGTATGAACGCGGGAAGCTCAACGCGCACGCCAATACTGCTCCTCCCATCTGTAGAGGAGGTTGATGACTGGACTGTATACTAGCTGATGACTGCCAGCATGACAGATGAATAACAACAAACCGCAGGCGTGCCACGTGCTGCCAAAGGATCCGAGAATAAGGAGTCCATGCGTGCTGATGTATTGTCAACTGTTCGCGGCACGGTTGTTATACAATCGATCACCCCACCCCACCCATACACATGATACCGCATTCGTGCTTCCCCGTCGAGGTATGCGTGCCAAGATCGTGGTCAAGAATCGGCGAAACGTTGCTGCACTACTGATAGATTCGTGATCGGTGCAAGATCCATCCGACATGAATAATTGCTCAAAGCTCAGTGCGTACACGCATTTGCTATATACTAGGCATGTGCACGTAAAGCGCGCGCGCTGGGTCCGTTCACAGAGCGTGGCCAGACGCACGTGCGCAGCCCGGGAGGGGGCTGCCATCTGGGCGTAGGTGGTCTAACGTCATTGCGTAGGTACTAGCCCTCCCTGTTCCAAGACCTTCTTCCCGTCGGGGACAGGTACCCTCACGCCCACTCCCTGAAGTTTGTACGAGGGTTCCACAGGCCGTGAGAGTGCCCAAGATGGTTCTAAGAGAAAACCCGATGCTTCAAAATAGTGCCCAGTATGGCTCATGATAGCCGAAGGTGGTTCAAGATGATGGCTTGCAACATGCCTGCGAGAAGCCCAAGAGGACCACTAGATAACTTCAAACGCTCCCGGAGCCCCATCTAGACCCCCTCTGGAGGCCAACGTCTGTCCAACAAACCTTAAGGAAACTCCAGCACGTGTGCCGTGCCACGTTTTCGCTTCGGGTGCGGCTTTGAAGCCTGTAGGTGGCCTCAAGATGGCTCAAGAGAGCCCCAACAGAGGCCCCGAAGGCCCCAAAAGACGGCCCCAAGAGCGCCCAGGAGCGCCCCAAGGGCGCCCCAAGAGGGCCCTAAAGGCCGATCCTGATGGCATTTTGGACCGACGCCCTCCGGGATGGCCCTAACAGGCCCTCCAAGGCCCCCAACCCCAAAGAGGGCTCCAAGAGAGCTCCAAGACCCCCATGTCATCATCCTCCTCCCCCAGGGTTCCAAGAGGGCTCCAAGAGAACTCCAAGACCCCCACGTCATCACCCCCAGCTGCGGTGTCCATACGCTCCGTCAAACTTATGCGTTTCGTTCGGGCACGTGATCATGGCGTCCTTTTCCTTGCTCGCGGGGCTGGCGAAGGTCAGAAGCCCTCTGGCCTGTCGAGAAGTGTTCTGTGTCGCCGGGGAAGGCTCAGAAAACTTTTCGGGAGGCCGGGCGACTTACGAGCCTTCTCAGAAGGCCCGCCCCCTCTCACTTACCCCACTCGCTCGCGGCCGAATTGTTTGCGTGAAGGCAAAACCCCTAAAATCCCTCTTCCTTCTCCTCCTCCCCCTCCCCCTATTACCCCCCTCCTCCTCCTCCTCCTCCGCCTCCTCCTCCTCCTCCTCCTCCTCCTCCTCCTCCTCCTCTCCTCCTCCTCCTCCTCCTCCTCCTCCCTCTCTCCTCCCTCCCTCCTCCTCGTCCTCCTCCTCCTCCTCGTCATCATCATCATCATCATCATCATCATCATCATCATCATCATCATCATCATCATCATCATCATCACCATCATCACCATCATCCCTCCTCTTTTCCAGTGGCTCTCTCTTCACCCCCACCAATCCAAAATAGAAGGGGCTGCGAACGGAAAACAAGGGAGTAAAACAAACACCCTGCACCTCCCTTAGCGCCAACACAACGGAACAACCAGGGCCAACACCCGCCTTGCTAGCACCGTGGGAGGGCAGGGCAGCGGTCGGCCTCTCAGCAGAGCCTGCGCCACCACTCCGCCTCCTCCCGAGGCGCGAGTCTCAGGGGCCAGGGCGAAGAGACCTTAGGCCCCCTGGGAAATGTACCTACCAATCGTTATTTGAAAAGCGGTCTAGTGTAGGCGCCTGGGATATAGAGGAATACTTTTCAGATGCCTGCGACCGCTCTAGACCTGGGAATTTTCTGCCGTCGGACCTGCATTCAGGCGCGCCTTCTCTCCACCTGAGCGCGTCGACGCACAAATGGTCTCGGGCCCGCAGCCCTCTCCGAACATCTGGACCTCCAGTCTTGCAGCTCCTGTCCCCCATCTCTGGCGAAGGCCGCCTCGTCCAGTCTAGCCCGCCTCCGCACGAAAGGCCGCGGCCTCACGCGCGCGGCCCGCTCCGACAGGTAGGTCCTCCACTTGACCAGCTCCAACTCGCGGGCGCCGGCGAAATCCTGGTGATCGGAGCTCGTCCTAGGGATGACACAACTCTCGCTCTTAGGCTGTCCGGCATTGCAAGTTGAAGGGCGGCCTCTAGAGCCAATGCTAGGAAAGCCTCCATCAGCAGTTACGGCACGAGGGCATCCAGACCTGTCTTTCTGATGATCTGCGCCCGAGGGCCCACCAGCCGCATTCGTGTACGCAGACGTCTGGCGCCTCCCCCCCCACACACCTGCAGTGCGCCCTTGGCCAGCGACATGGCTCCCAGTGCACCTCCACAGGCCTGGAAGTGCTCGAAAACCGCGGCGCCGCAGGAGCAGCGCGTGCCCCGAGCTGGGCAGCTGGGGGCTCCCAGCCAGCTCCCTGAGGTATGAAGGCCGCGGTGTCCGCGCGCAGCTGCGGGCCCGTCTCCGGTGGGAGCGAGGGCTCCTGCGGAATGAAGGTAGTAGCATTTGCACTCAAACTCGAACTCGAAGACAACGATAACGGTCCACAAATACTATGCGCCAGGAGCACCTCCAGTACCTCCGCGCGCCACACGACACCACCAAAGACGGGGAGAGACGGCGGCTCCCGCGCGAAGTAAGAGAAGAGGCCCCTGATAGAAGGAACGAGATCCTCGGCGCCAGAAGTCGCACAGCTCCGCGCCGCCGTCGGCCCCCAGCCGAGGGCCGTGCTGCGCGCCTCGCCAGGCCGCCATTGGCGCCCACGCGGAAGGGCACGCCTTGGCGTGGAGCGCGACCTTCCTCACCAACCGGTCCGACTGAGGCACCCCACGACCGCAAGCTCGGGCCGCGAGAGCAGGGCGGGCCGGGGCCACGCGGCGCGCGACCTCCACGGCGACCGCGCCTGAGGCCTGGCCCCCTCCCAGGTGAGCTCGAAGTCGCCCGACCTCGGCCAGCAGCTTGGAGACGAGACGGTCGGCCGAGGCGCGCGCCCCATCCGCGCCTCGCAGGGCCGGCCCCGGTGCCTCCGAGCTGCATCCCGCAGCCATCCATGCCATGCGCGCCCTGTCCGCCGGTTGAACCAACGGCTATAGGCTACGGACCCCTCCCTCCTCCTCCTCCCTTCTCCA